TTTATTGCATTTTAGTTTTTGATATTATTAGATTAAAATGTATTAAGCTCTTAATTTAAGTCAAAAATTTCTCGGAATCTGATTTTCCTAGAAACCCTCCCATATTTTAATCTAAATCCAAAACTAAAATGCAATAAAAATTAAAGTTTTGTTAAAAAATTCTCAGAGTCTGATTTTTCCTAGCATATATAATTAGCATTTGGTTCGGTCGTTTGAAAATTTTTGCTCCAATACAAACTGACCCTTGAAATTTGAAGTTATCGAATGAATATCGAAAAGATAAGGCCATGCAACTTCGATTTTTCGGTTTACGTCACACGGCCGGGTCACTTTTTCAAATTTTAAAATAAAAAATGTTATATTTAAAAAGTTTATCATATGACTATAAAATATAATTTTATTAGTAGATTAAAGCTTTATTGTATTATCGTTATGTATGATTCCTTTCTTATTTTCTTGCAGCTTCCCAAGCAATATATAGTGCTGAAATTTTTTCTCCAACTTATGTTTTAACTTCACTTCAAGATCTGCTTCCCACCAGTCAGGTGATAAATATAGAATCAAAAAATCTTTTATTTTTTGTTTTTTTTTTCAACAGGTAAACCTTCCCGATCCTTCAAAACTTTAGAATTATAACTTATTTTATATGTATAATAGGCATTTTGACGGAGTTAAGATGATTTTAAATGAAATGTGATTGTCGTATGATAAGGCCGGGCAAAGAAAAATTTTATAATTTTTAGTTTTCATATGTAAGTTTTTTTTATATGTATTAAAATCTGTGTAATTATCTGATATGCCGATTTTATTATGTATGGTCACATGATAAAAATTTTATTATAAAAAAAAAAATCCTGAATTTTCGTAAACTGACACGGCCAGGTCACAAAAATCTGAAAATTACTTTGCACGGCCTTGTCCCCTTAAAGATTGACCAATCAGATGTCACAATATTTATATAATAAACTTTTTTATTAATAAAAAACTCCGGGTCTCCGGGTCGATTTTAAAATTTCAATATTACGTGAACCGAAAAATCGAAGTTGCATGGCCTAAACAAGAACATATTAGTTACAGGTAAGAATCCCTACAATCCCAGGAATTTTTTTACGAAGGTGAGACTATAACTACAGTTTTAATATATTTGATTTTCGAAACAAAACGATTAATAATCATACAGTAATTTGCGATTTTTAATATACAAAGTTTGTTTGGTTCTCGCGTTAAATTTAAAATTTTCATGATACGTCCTAAAATTTGAGCAACGGATTAATTTTTTATTTAATAATGTAAATTAAAACTTTTTAGAATTGACAAAGTTGTACATCTTTAACAACGTTCAAAATGAAAAAATAGGATGTACTGTAGATCAGAAAACAATTTTGTCAAAATTTGCGCCGCTCAATTTATCTCCAGCATCTAAATTAGAAATATAAAAAGCTTAATCCAACAATTTTATTAATTGTTAAATCATTGAATAAAAAAGACTACCAGTTTCAACGTACCATAATTTGATATTAGAATCCAAAATCCAATTCGAGTAACATGTTTAGTTTCTTTTTTGATTTAAAACATATAAATAAATTTTTTTTAATCCAAAATTTTGCCATAAAAAAAACCAAAATCACTTGATATATTCCCGGAAGGCTTCCAAGTAGAGGCCTGCAACGGGCCGGGTCTAGGTTCAAAGTATTCGAAATATGATACACCAAGCAATTTGAGCAATGATATGATTGCTATTTAGTTAACTTCACCAATTCGTCAACTTGCTGATTATGATTTTAACTTCTTGCAAGAGTATCATAATTTCTCAAGAAAAGTAAGTATAATGAACAAAGAATCTTACTATTCCGCACTGATTCCGTGCAAGTTTTTTGCCAAAAAAAAAGGCTACAATTTCTGGACAGTATTTCATACCGAAAGAGGTACAAGAAAATGATGCAAGAAACCTTGAACCTGCACGTTCAAATTTTCTAGTATCGGAAATCAACAATACTAGTAAATAATAAGGTTTGCACAACTATTTACCAAATTTAAATTTCTTGTCGTGATTAGCATATTATTGTCTGATCTGCATGTTTACCTGGACGCGCATCGCCATCAGCAATTACCTTTTTCATTTGGTCATTTTGATTTTCTAAACTTTTTTTTATTTTTTTATTTTTTATTTTTTTAAAAAAAAAGATATATATGGGGGGCGGTCAATAGAAAAGGGGGAAATCTACAAATTTTGAGTAATTTTAGTTATTAAGCTAGTTTTGTTCACATGACCATGATCA